TACTTAGAGGCAATGCTCACACCTTAAGTTTGTTCATCCTTCATTAGATCTCAATGTTGTATGAGCACCATGTCGAATGAACAATTTTCAGTACTGTAAGCAGTCACTAAGACTAGTATTATAGATATTACCATCAGAAATTAAACCAATTGTTACTTCAAAGAAAATTTTAATACTTCCAGCGCAGTTCTTAGAAAGTCATAGTTAGCTCATGTGATGTGAAACACACAGATTGAAGACTGATCAGGGTCTCAGTACAGCACCTTACAACTCTCAGAATCTCCATTTAAGAGATTACATGAGAAATAAACTCCACTGGCCCCAGGGAGTGGGAGGAAAGTTAAGAACCTAAATGACTTCGTATCTTTAAGCAGGTCAGAGTCTCTCTGGCTGCTGCCCAGTCTGGATGAAATAGTTCAGCTGAGGTGAATCAGAATCACTGACCCACTGCCGATACACACGTCTGGAGACCTGCTGCATTTTTGGCAGATGTTTCATTCTGGTCTATCTCTGTGGAACACCCTTGTTGCCTTATCAGGCTAACCCTCTAGCAAGATCAGAGTGGGTTTTTTTTCTTATGAGATACCAATTACGTAGTTTTTCTCTTGGTGGAACCCACTACAGATGTTTTCTGCAAGTATGATCCCTACAGTCAGATGCTTGCGTGCTGTCTTGCTCTCTTGCTTGTCATGATACAGCGTCCTAGGAGGAATGTAGGAAAGAGATAACATAAAGAAGGAAACATCTCACAAAATGTGACGCTCTGTACGCCACATTTCACAGAAGCGACAGCTTACCCTAACTGAACTCTTCAGTCTGCCTGATGGGGAAGCCCATCCTTGCATAAGAACACAAGGCTAATCCCTGAGCATCTTCATAAGAGCCTTTTTTGTGCCATTAATAGTGCACGGTGCTCAAGACTTTTTTTCTCAAGTAACGCTTCATCTGCTTTGTCTCCTCAAGGCCTGTCTGCTATCATACAGATGTCTGTGTATACACAAAAGCTTGCAAAATATTAATATTCATGTATATACTATGCATATTTTTACATGCACGCTTATCTACAAGGTCATATACACCTGCACAGCTACTGTAGGCTGATGGAAAATCATGGCTTTCTTTATGCCAAAGCAATGTGTCTGCAAGAGGGCTGTCCTCCAAAGTAGGTGATTGAAATGACCTGCTGCTAGGCTTTTGTTTGGTGGAATCTTAATTAGAACTAAATTTCCTAAGTTTTGAGCTCTGGTCACCCATTGTGCTGTAGTGGACCCATTATTTCAGGTACTGAAAGGGGCTTTGCTGTCAGTGGTTTCCGTTTGAAGAACACTTTCTCATTCTGCTTTTACTCACAGTACCAAAATTTAGAATAGTATCTTTCTTACCACATTAATTTGTATGACAGGAAGGACTTCATTCTAACTCATGAAACGATCTTGTAGTTCGGCCATTTTGATAAATTTTTTTGATAGGTTTATTGCCTTGATGAGATTTCTTAGTCTCCAGGCCTGTATAGAGAGAACACCCCACAAGGGATAACTAAATGTTGTGGTCAAACCAGGACACTAACAGTAATTCCACAGTATTCCTGCAAAAATTCAGATGTGGATGCTGCCAATACCTGAAGAAAAAAAAAAAAAGATATGAAGTGGTCCACAGTATTTTTCTTACAGAGCTGTTCCATTCTACATAGGAAAGGTAACTACCCGGTGACTTGTCTTTACATAGAACAGTGAAGTTGTGTGGCCTCAGTAAACAGGTGTCCCAGATGCAGCAAAATGGCCTTTGATTTCTGTGTGTTTCCAAATATCCTAAGAAAGTGTAATGGAGACAAATCGAGTTCACCTTCTTTATCCAAGACTTCTTTATCCACAGACTTAAATGGAACAGTTCATGTGCAATATAATTATGGCATGTTACTAACATAACTTCTCCGGTAAAGGGTAGAAGGTTGAAAACAGTTACCACTTCTTAATCTAAGCGAAGTAGCTCCAAATTTGTATCCCTGTAACATTTCAAATAACTGTCAAATAGGAGGGAAAAAAAGTTGCATTTTCAAGCTGTCGCCTCTTGAGCTGTTACACATCTATGGAGACCAGGTTACTGACGTAGACTGTGTTGGGTAGGATGAACCCGGAAGAAAAGAATGTGTTCTCCAGGTGGGCTGGTGCTGTCTTCACCTTGCATCTGTGCTACATAACAAAAGGGAGCACAGCTACATATGTATTGCCAGGATGATGTACACTAATGTTAATTTCAAAAGGAAGGGAGCACATGATGAGGTACTTGAATATGGATCCGAATTTCCCTGTCCCCCTAAAAAAGGGGATGGAAAGGTTGGACTTGTGTTGTCAATGTGGCGTGAATTGATGCTGGTGGCACACAGGACAGGGAAGTTCCTGGTGTGAATGTTTCTCTGATTCTTGATGAACTTTTACTTTGCAAAAGCTGGTAGCATTTATTCATGGTTTTAAAAGCTTGCACTGGGAAAAAAAAATGAAGCTCTAACATTTCTACTTTGCCTTTTAAGTTTTAATTTTAAATTTTATTTCTTTGGAAAGGCTGAGAAGTATTAAAAAAAATAACTGCTTAATGTAGGCTAGAACAAGAAGGGCTGTTCTGTAATTAAGCCTGCTGAATTTGTATTCATTTACACTAATCTAATTATTACTTTCTTTGAATGCTCTGCTGTGAGTCAAAATAAGCTAGTGCTGGATTTGAGAACCACAGAATGAGAAAAGTAAGCAAAAACCGCAAAGAGATTTTTCTGCATCTTTTGAGTTTTATGAGACTATAGCAAACTATAGAGAAATAACACTGCAAATGGATTTAAGAAGATTGCATGGTTCTGCTTTTCAGCATGCTTTCCATTGATTGATAATGGCAGATTAACCTGTGCTGCGCTCGTGCTTTCTGAGGTTGAGGGATGGTGGAACCTCAGTCCATTTGTACCTGCAACGAGCAGGAAATCCATTAGCCAGAGGAACTGAAACTGAAACACTGCAGCTCCATGGCATCATTTTTAAATGAAACACGATATTGTGTCAATTAAATGATTTTGCATCTGTAAAGACGTAGCAACCAATTACTTCATTTTCAGAAGGAACTAATGCACATTCACAGTCGCCGTTCTAAAAAAAAGTGTTCTGATTTGTAGTCCTGTGCTCGACACAGTTATGCTTCTTGGCAACTAGCACATGCAGAAACATAAAAGTAGAATAAGATATGTTCCTATTTAATTACTTTAAGTAGCCATTCTTCTTTGTATCACATAGCTTGGCAATAGGTAGGGCAAGTCTTGGTCTGTTGGCTGTTCAGCGTTGGCTACAGTATTGGAAATTACAAAGACTGCAGTGGAACATTTATTTACATTTTTCAAATAGAAATACGTTGGGAGACTTCTAAATATGTTTACCAAAGAAGGAGCCCCAGGCAAATGCTAAATTTGTCCACTGAACAGAAATTTTGCATGTGTAAGTTACACTAGTGGAAACTAATGTGTTTTATATAGATATATTATATTTGATTTTCATGTATTCCAGTTTTTTAGTCAAATCCTCACCACTTTGAGTTCCCCATTGCCAAGTATCCATGGCTGTTGTTGTCCATGCTTGCGTATAATTAGAATAATTCAAACCTGAACAGACAGTGACTTTTTCTTATCTGCATTTGATGTATATTTTCCACACGTGCACGTATTGTGATAGTGTCTAAACTAAGTGAAAGGAAAGCATCTTCACTCCACAGAACCATTTTGTTTGTGGCATATACACAGAGCACACTTACATGTAATATATGATGTGAACACTCTTCTGTCACTTTGTTTTTTTATATATATATTTATGTATATAGAGAGAGACAAATTGATCTCCAAGATGCATAACACTTCAAATTACATTTTAAAATATTTTTTATTCTTAAATATTTACAACTTAAACATTTAATTGTGAATTTGAGAAGCTTAGCAAAAAAAAAAAAGAGACCAAACCACAAACCATTGTGAAACCTTGCTCTAATAACTTAGATAAATAGCTCTATTTAAGAGAACTATGTGTTATTGTTCTGTGCTTTATGCTGCATTGGAGGAGACACTGTACCTTGATCGTTCTGCAGTAATAAGGCTTGATCCTGCATATCGTAATGGTGATTGGTCACGGTTTAAATACGAGGTTAAAACCAACAGGCAAAATAAGGGAGCTCAGGGAAACTTGCTTCTGTGTAATTGAAAGTGTGGCTGGGCACTCCACTTACAGCAGTCCCATAGCAGGAGTAAGGTCAGATAGTGGAGAGCATAAGTATACGCCTCATTTCAAGTCCAGATTTAAAAAAAAAAAACAAAAAAAAACTGCCTCTGCAGGCATTGCCATTCTCTCCACCATTTTTTTAAAATTTGTTCTTGAGGGGTAAAGGATGGGAGGGACAAGAGACTTGAATTCACACCTCTGCAATGCCTTGCACTGTGCCCAGTGCTCCACTTGCTGCAACCCATGGCTAACAGGTGTTTAGGTTTAATTTGGAACAAAAAGCATTTTCCCCCATCTAGTCCACCATGGGATTTGCAGGATTAAGGCCTAAATGGATAAAGCGTCTACAATGAAGGGACAGAGTACGTTAGTAAGTGAAAGATAACTTGGTCTTGAAGTGTACTTTCATAGAATAACTCCATATGGGCCTCTTACAAAGGCTATTCTTGGCCTTTTTTATTTATTTAGTGACAGAAAAGTTACATCATTAGCTCTCTCCTCGTCACCTGTAATATTAGCATGCCTGTTAAATTGCTGATGAGACACTCACTGTAAAGTCACTTACGGTTTTAGATGTTTATTATTGATTTTGGCATATTGCAGGAATGTACCATTGAGGATGATCTGGAGTAGCATGGCAGCATGCAGAGTAATGGACTCTTAATTCACTTGGAAGACTTGCGATGGATGTTCCAGTTTGAAGTGAGACTTGATAGCAAAGGTTATGGGAGATGCTAATGGAGGCTCTTTGCTTTGCAGTGCTGCAAGGAGGAGCGCTGGATGGAGTCTACAGGCTGGCACAGTTTCACATTCACTGGGGATCCTGTGAGGGCCAAGGGTCTGAGCACACTGTGGATGGTGTGAAGTATGATGCAGAGGTAGGATATGCTTTACCTTCTCCAGTCTTTTGTGTATAATGATTTTTTTTATTTTATTTTATTTTATTTTTCCACCACGGTAGCAGCTTCTGTACAAATCTTCATAGGGCAAGAGATTGTGGGGGTTACCAATGTACCATTGGTGCAATGTCACCCCAGGACCTACTCCCTACAGTAGCAGAGATTAGAATTAGAGGGCTCTTGTAATATTTTATTTTTTTTTCATCTGCTTCACATCAAAGAGACTACAGAAGCAGAAAAACCCACTTTAGTTATCCCTGGGTTTTTTTCCCTGCTTTCTCGATGACTCATGAAAATTATGAAGAAATAGAATCACAGTACCTCTGTACACGCACATCCCCTTTTCCTGGCTTCATTTTTTAACATCAGAGACATTTACGTAAACAACAGAATAATTTTGGGGCAGGCCGTTTCTTTCATCTTTTGGCAGCAAAGAAACAAAGGGAGCTGTGAAGAGGGCAGGTAGCAAAGTAAGACCTTGCAGGCACTATTTGTAATATCCTTGAGACTCCGGTTGTCCCTTGGACCACATAAGACTCTGTATTACAGTCTCACTACAGAAATGCCGTGACATTAGTGCCTTGCATCCTACCTTTCCTTGTCCCCTGTTTAGGAATCTACCTGTGGATGCTGTGACAGACTTTTTTTAACTCTTTCATAAATGCACATTGGCAGAACAAACCTATGATTTGCATTGATGGGTAAAAGAAATGGCTCCACAAATTCATTGGCTCTGTTGCTTTTTCATGAGATAAAGTAGCCTTTGTCTTTTCTGAGAAACTTGCCATTGCCTTACATCTGTTCACAGTCCCATACTTGCCCAGCCTGACTGGCAGATATGGGGAAACAGCCAGATGAACAGCCAGTTATTAGAAATAACTCAGAAATCAAAAATAAAGTAAGATCCTGGCTAGCATCACCTGGAGATTAATTTCATATTCTTTTAAGAGGCTTTCCAGAACAGGGCAGGACAATTTTTTTAAAAACTCTCTAGATTGCAGGTCGGATCTGTAGTTAATAGCTCTTCTCCCTCACACTGGACAATTATGTCTTTCAGTGTATATCAAAATCCTTCAGTTTGCATGCGTAAAAAACCATGATGAAGGTAACAGGGCTTTCACCAGACTAAAAGCAGAACGATACAGCCACATCTTGCATTTAAAACTCATTTGGGAATAAAAGCGGGATGCAAAATAAAATGCATGACAGAAATCTCTTTGCATAAATGAAACTTGAAAGTAGATGAATGATTCAACAAATTCTTAACTGTGCACAAAAGTTCTTAAATCTCAGCAGTGAAACACCATCTGCTCTTAATTTTTAATAAATTAGTTCCCTGAATCCTCATTCGTAAAATATTGTGGATGGAATATCATCTTCACAGTGCTTCTTGTTTTCTTGCTCCTAGCTCCATATTGTTCACTGGAATGTAAAATATGGTAAATTTGCTGAAGCTGTGAAGCATCCTGATGGTTTGGCGGTGGTAGGCATCTTCATGAAGGTTAGTTGAACTTTTTCTTTTGTATTGTTTGGATGAGTTCAGTATGTTCCTTGTTGCAGGGGCACCCTGAGAGCCTAAGTTATAGAATAAGCCAGCATTACGCTATACTGCATAAACCCATAGCAAACTGGGCAGTGTTTCAGATTCTTGTGTTTCTCTACATATAAAAATTGTACGCCAGCAATGGAGTATGACTGCCATCCATCACTGTGGTGGCCCTATAGCAGCATACTTGCCTTCATCACAACAGTGACACTGCCATAACTCTTTTCAGTGAAAGGTGATGTATATAACTGACAAAACTATTTGTGTAAGAATATGCAGTAGGAGTGGCCTAAATAACACCTATTTTCCTTTTACTGTCATTGTTAAATGTCCAGAGCATTTCGTCTAAGTTGAATTATCTTCACAGCTAGTTGGAGAAGGTGATTGTTCCCCAGCAGTGTGCACTCTCTCCTGGCCTCGCTGGGTTTTATTAGGAGGGTGACTTCCATGAAAAAAAGAAGAGCTCAAGGCCAAAAATAAATCCACACACTGTAAATGAAAATAACTTTATTCTGCCCAGTGTCCTTGGCTGACCTATTTGTGCTGACTGTCAACTGGCATGATTTTACAGAGGCTTTTTACAGTTCCAGTCGCATTTGCTTTAATACTCCTGTTATATAATGAAGTGGTGCTGGCAAATTGTACTATAAAATGTTTCCTTGAGAACTGTAACAGAAAACTAGAGGTATCATGAGAGTGCGTGGTTATTTTCTTTTCGTATGGTTTGTATTACAGGTAGGAAATGCCAGGCCTGAAATACAGAAAGTTGTGGATGCTCTGAACTCTATTCAAACCAAGGTAATATTTGCTCTCTGTGGTGATTCACACCAATCACAACTGCACCGTTATCTTCTCCAGAAAGTGGATTATTTACTTTTTCCAGTCTGCTATACGTACAGAAGTAAAACAAATCTTCCTGCCGTCAGCACTAATGCTCCTGTAATTTTAAATGCAAAAGAGATTCAAATGAAGTTGTGGTACAGGGCAGGGAATACTAGGAACGGTGATCACTTTGTATCTCTGTGACTATGCTTCTGTCTTTTAACTGCATTTAAAGCTATGGGGTAGAATTCATCTTCCTAATCTAAACTACTCTTCTAGGTGCCATTTTTAGTCTAGGTGACAGATGCAGAAGGCACTTCCCCTCATCTCCACATCTGGGATAGACTTCCTTCCTCCAAGAGGGCATGCTTCTCTTGGCTATTTCTAGAGGGAGTCCAGATAAGAAGTTTGATCAGGATATTTAACCCTGAGGGGAAAAAAAAGCCTTTCCATAATTTAAATATTGTGTGAAGTGTGTATGCAATCTTAATGAGCTGAGTAATGAAAAATGAAAAGTACTTCCTGAGTAGTTATGTACCTTCATAGTGGGTAAAGGCCTGTGCTGATGAGAAATATGGGCAGGAAAAGTAAAGAATGAGACTATGCCGTCATCTTTGTGATCAGTCTCCCTTTGAGGTAAATGGATGTTGCCAACAGATCTCCCAGGTTCTCTGTTTCCAGTACAACCGTTGTATGTGGTATCTGAAAACTCTTTGTTCCTTCAAGCAGGGTCAAATTGTGTATCTAGAAGCAAGGAACATAACTTCAGCATTTGAAATGAGAAACAATGTCTTGAAAGTCTTATAATGTAAGAAATATATTGCTCAAAGTCTTAAACCCAAAGGTGCTGTAGGAGGCCCACAACACTACATGCCAAACTCCATTTCTGCCTTTCTCTAAACATGGAGTTTCCTGTAGAAAACTTTACTACTGCAAACCCAGCATCCCTGTATGGTCACTCCTCTGATGTTAGCCCACCTCCTTTCTTTATTGTAGGGGAAGCAAGCTTCCTTCACAAACTTTGACCCCACTGGACTGCTTCCTGCATGCAGAGACTACTGGACATACCCTGGCTCGCTGACCACTCCCCCACTGCTCGAATGTGTCATCTGGCATGTTCTGAAGGAGCCCATCACTGTCAGCCCCGAGCAGGTAGGTCTCCAATGGATGGTGGCAGTAGATGCGTACTGGAGTCCTATGGATTGCTTTGGTTCAGCGCTCCTGCTGATCTATGAAATGGCAGTATATGTACTGCAGAGCTATGCGGGGTATTAGCTAGCATTACGTGTCGAAAATTATATATATATAAATATATCTCTGCAGTGGTTATCTTCTTCTGGCAGGACTCTGCTTCTATGCGTGGAAGTAGTTTGCTGCAAAATGTAAGGTATTTAGACACAGTCCAGAGAAAATTTGGGGAGTTTTAATCAGGTTTTCCAGATACATGATTAGTGCTGCCATGTGGTAAAAAAGTGGGAAATTTGTAGCATGCATGAAAGGGCCATTTGCGCATGCAGAGTTCATCTAGCATGTATTGTGAGCATCAGCGGGTTTGCTGTACATGCACACATCACCTGTCTGGGTATACTTGCCCTGAAAATATGGGGTTTACCAAGCATCTGAAGAGCACGTATTCCACATCTGCAGTCTCGCGCTGTAGATCTGTGGTTGATTTGTTGATCTTCCAGCATTTCCAGGACACAGAGCTCGTTTTACAAGTTCTATTCAGCGCAGAACAGACTGGGAAATCCCACGCAGAATTGTGACAATCCTAACAAAACCGCATTGTTTGGAAGAGGCAAAACTTGCAGATTCCAGAAGTCTGCTGCCTTATTAAAAAAAAAAAAAAAAAACAAAAAAACCCCCACCTCTATTCTGTTGAGCAGCTTGAGGAGGATAGAGTCTTCCTAGTAGGAAGGAGCTCGTGCAGATTAAATCACTCCTGGCCCTAGCTTTCTGCACCATCCATTAATGAAATTGCATAGAGGCAGGATTCCATCCTCGGGTTTACATCTGTGTGCTTGGGAGATATAAATAGAATCTAGAGCCTATAAATATAAACTAGGCCTGAAGGGCTTTAGTTTGCCCTTCAAACTTTTAAATCCCTTTTATGAATGGCAGACATGCTAACAATATACACAATTCTCGGGGGTTTATTCAGCTGATGTGGAAAAAAAAAAAAAGTGCAACTGAGCTGTTGTGGGACTTAATAAAAGATAGAATTAATTACAAGAAAAAACTATTGGAAGTAAATATTACAGCAATTATTACCATTATTAAACTGCAAGGGAGCATTAACATTGACACTGTTTACTTGTTTTAAACTATTGCTACTGATAATCCAAGGTTTGCAAATATGGTTTTATTATAGGTCAGAAGCACATTCGCCAAAATAGAGTTGTTTTTCCTACTACACCTACTTTAACCACCTACAAGTGGTAAAAGACACCACTTGTTTCTCCCACACACACCCCTCTATATTACCATCGACATTTCAAAGATGAATTTGAGATCAAAACAGTTTGTGGCAGCTTGCCTTTTCATTCCAAAACAGATCAAACCAAGAAACCATTAAACAGTGTATTGACACTGGGTTTAAGTTGAATTGGTTTTCCAAAGATAGATAGAAGCTGGCTGTTACAGCAGGGTGTAGCAAGCCTGTTATCATTTGCTGTAGTGACACAGCAGTTCCTGGCAGAAGTTGAGCTCTGAACTTTGTTCCATTCGGTCCTGAAGGTAAAGTCCTCTCCTGGGCTTGCCCCTGCTGGGGATCTCCTTCCTTGAATGAGGGAAAGTCTGGCCTGCAGGCTGAGGCATACAAAAACCTGTATCCCACCTACATATTTACGTCAGCAGTTCCAACTATCTGGGTAAGATCACATTTGGGGCAGGTTATTATTTTGGCATGGTCTTTTTCTTAGTTTTGGAGATGCCCACATTGACACCAAGGTGCTTTTATTACATCAGACTGTGCAAACACTAATTTTACTTTAGGAACAAGCACTAAAACCTTACAATATGCTCCCATTGATGTGGAACATTTTTCCTTCTTACAGTATTTGAAAATCAGGGTATCTTGAATGAATTTGGCTGCTTTAATTTGACCCAAGGGTAAGGTCAATTTTTATTTTTTTTTAAACATCAATCAGGCACAAAAAATCCAACTTTCAAAAGAGTCAAACCAGTACAACTTGCAAAGGATTCTGAAAGGGTTTCAATTCAGATCTGGATCAAGGACAAATAGCTCTTTGTGTGCAGAGTTCAGAAATTGCGGGCATAGGTCTTTGTTTTCTGTGTTTTCTTAGTTCTTCTTGCTAGGGTATTTTTTGGACAAGAGAGCCTGTGTCAGGGGCAGGAAATGGTGCGGATGAAATGCAGAGACACACGGGTGGTGACACCATCTCTAGACCATTAGTGCTGGTGAAACTTTGAGTTGGA